ACATGCTAACATTTAAAGTTAAAAGATTAATATTAAGTTATTAAATTGTTTTACTAGTTCACTATATTTAGTAATACCGGGGTATTTTCTCAATACCATACCAAAGTATTATTTTATTTAATACCTCACAGCCCTAATGCACCCTATAGCTTCGTAATAACTCTAGCAAATGCAACAACAGAATCTTGATACAACAGTCTAGCAGAAGAGCACCAGCATCTACTTGATGGACGTGGCCATTTATTTAATTTTGCTAGCCATCCCATTCCCCAGCCTACAGTCATTGGGGTGGACGGCAGGGAAGGGTCTGGTACTCTTTAATGTAGTTTTGTTCTCCCGTCCAAAAGTGGATGTGACCAATAAAAATCCTTGAAGCTAGCTTGTCATAATTTGTCACATAGATATCACACAATATAAGGTGGCAGATTGTTGCTTGGCTTGTGGTGGAACACTTGTAAAAGGATCTAGGGCATCTGCCTGTGATATTTTGGTACTTTTGAAGCAATTACTCACAAAGAGACTAGAAGAGAACCATATGGAAGCTGATTTGGACTCCATTATTAGCTGTTCTTGCATCTGTAGGGCCTGTTTTAGAATCATATACCACCCACCAAGAGAAAGAAGAACGCCTTTTTGCAGCAACAGCCAATTCTGTCAATGGTATTGAGTCAGTAAGCAGCAGTCCCAATCCTGTCACTCCTATGAGGAGAGTTGCTTCCAGTATTGACAGTGATCTTATGTCAGCAACCAAAAGAAGATGTACAAATAGTGATGACTCTCCACCAATTGTAGTAAGTTGCAATGCTTGTAATTGAATTAATTTATATTGGTAATATTAAGAAGATTTTAAATCACTAGTAATATTAATGTAGGTTGGAATTGGCTATAAAAGTGGAAGCAAGTCATATAATCAAACGAGTCCTCGAAGAAAGAATTTTATTAGTAAGTTTGCAAGGTTTGGTGACAGTGCTAAGAGTGCTGCATGTGAAGCATTAAGGGACCTTGAGGTTAGAAAGTACCTAGCTGTTGGAATGGGACGATCATAAAAACCGAGATCAAGACTCTCTGTAGTGAACGTGTGGACTCTGTTCAGCGTTCATCAAATAAAGATGATATTCTGTCTTTCCCTTAATAGGGCAAGGATTTTAGATGAAGTTAAGCAACACTGCCCACTGCTGCTCTGTTTTATGTTAGCAAGCACTGATACAAAGGCACAAAGGTACTATTACTATTCATTCATAGTTAATAATGACTACTTAGCCCACATAGTATCCATTTAAATATTTTGTCTTATTATTTTTAGGTCAAATCTTGTACATCTAATTTGTACTATTGTGTGCATGTTGTCAAACTATCATTATTGTCATATGTCCCTCCCTTCTACAGAAACTTGTGTCGGCTATAATGTATGCTGGTCACTGTGGAACAATGGTGATTATTGTGCTGAATTTTTAAATTATAATTATTATACTGCATTTATTTGTAAGTTTATAGGAGACTCCAGCAACTATCGATACGTATGAGCAAAAATGCTATTTACGCTCTCATAACTTCTCTTGGTCAAGATTAGACTCCAATGTAAAGACTTGGCAAGCAAGTCTTTTACCACCCACACGAACTCAAGATCAAGTAATATATAATCTTATACGCTTTACATGGTGACATTTTTTGTAGATAAACAGTAGTGACATGCCATCAATGTTAGAAGTACGTTGTACATGGCATTTAATGAATGTTTAATATTCTCATTTGTTATTAGTTTTGTGATAACAGCAATGATGATGAAGACTTACATGTAGTTAATGATCTGCATGTACATTATGTTGATACTTTCCTGAACAATGTTAGTTACTTACACATTTAAATGTGAAGTAAATTCTGTACATTATAGGAAACTTCAGAAGAAAATGACTGTAATGGGACTACTATGGAAGACGGGATTGATGAAACAGAGTCTGCTGTTTCTAAAGTATCCACTCCCAATCCACTAACATTTTCTGATATATCAAACAATCTAGGTAATTAATAGAATATAGATTATTGTGGTAAACCGTTTGCTTTCTTCAGATACTTGTAACTTTGATGAAGATGTTAGTGAAGTCATGAAGATCCCTGGAATGGATTTAAGATTGTAGGCGATAATATCAACATCACAATTAATCCAAGGCATATGAGAGTAGACGAAAAAGCCAAGTCATTACACTTCTTTCACTGCTATGCAGTACGTGATCGCATTGATCTTTCAGGAGCATCTGAAGATCCTAATCCGTTTCTTAATTCACAAGGAACTGTGTGAGCTACCAGTCACTGACTTACTACCAACTGCATCAGATGATATTTCCCTTTTGTGCAACCTATCTGTCTTGATTGGAAGAATCCTTGTGAAGGAGTTCCCATACTTTACCAGATCATTCGATTGTGCCACTACTGATCACATTACACACACGTACTATGATGAAATGGTAGTAAAGTCAATGACAGTGAGTTTCACTATTATGTGTAGCTAATGATTTATTATAACTTTTGGAATTGGCACTTACGTGTATATGTTGTTTTTAGGAACAGTTAGGTATCATTCTAAAGAAAGAGAATGTGTTGGAAGACATAATTGAGATTTTACTACACCTCAATGAATATGTGCCATGTCATACTCAAACTGCACTTGATTGTGTAACACAGCTTGAAGTAACTGCTGATGCAATTCATGAAATTCTACTTGGAGCCGACCAACTTACCAGAAAGAGGGTTGAAAGCGCTAAAGAGGACAGGAAGAATGATGTCAGTTTGTTGACAAGATTAAAGGGATTCATTCCTGTGACCAAAAATTGGCATGCTAAGAAGATATTTCTTGAAATAAGCTAGAAAATAAATGACATTAAGTATTTCCTTCACTTTCTTTTACATGATTTGGAAATGGCTCTACAAAAGTTTCCTAGATAAAGGTACTTTGTGTCATCTGAGGAATGTGATCAACCATAGGAATATTTCAGCAACAGCTGCTGATGATTTTAATGCCTGTGACGATTTTTTCACCAGTGTTATCCAGTGCCATGTTGTAGCTGCTGCAATGAATCAACTGGAAATGAACGATCGTAGTGATATGCCAGTCCATCCATTGTTGCATGACAGTTTGAAATCATTGAAGTGCCATCCCCTTACAGGCTATGTAAACTGTCAACCATGAAAATTAAATCACGAATTGCCCCACTAGGCGCAAACCACAAAAATATCAACCCACGAAAATACCAAGCTATATGGTATTTCTCGATCACATGCCCCCACATGGTATTTGTGGCGTCATACGACGTAATCCATGACGTGGTCATTTTGACAGCATTTGCTGAGTTGGCAAGAACAAAACTACATTAAAGAGTGTACCAGACCCTTCCCTGCCGTCCACCCCAATGACTATAGGCTGGGGAATGGGCTGGCTAGCGAGACTACCATTTATTGGCGTTTTACTCTAGTTACATGTATCACATAATCACCCAAAATTCACACAAACAAAACATCATACACAGAACAATAGGCCTTTGAAACGTTTTCCTATTTCATGGTCAACACAAAATCCCAGGCTACTCTACAAACCTGATGTGACGGTTTCTTGCCAATGAGGCACTCCAATGTTTCTTTATCTACCCTGTACAACTTTGTACCATGCGACAAGACATATCTCTTTACATTTTCTGACACCAACCTAAGAGAATTTATAAATCTAACCTACAATTACTCCACACAAAGTTCACAAACCATTTTAGATCATTCTCAAATGCTCCTTCTATAAATCCTTTTTGAAGTACCACACTATAAACACGACGCCTAGCTGCCTGTAGAGCAGCTAAACAAGGAGCCAAGCCAAATAACAGCTCACCACGTCTTCTAGGTAACTAATGATTACGGAAAAGTCGAGATAAGAAGCGAACACTGTACCTTCATTTGCCACGTGGTATGGTACTATGTAGAAAGGTGTGTCTTATAACATCTATGCTAGCTATATTAAACATGGAAGTCTCCAGGGAGAGTGAAGCTCGAGGTGAAGCTGGAAATTGCGGCACAGCTAGTCCTCTTAAGAAACAAGATTACACTTTTAGCTCTAGTTTGTCCCTCGAGCAAATGTAAATTCAGCTATTGATGATGAGTATTTGATTTATTTCTGTAGCAGAAAGAAGCAGAATCAATTTTCTATGGAAAGAGATTGGGAACAGTATCATACCCCTAGAAACTTGCTCTTAGCTCTAGTTGGAGAAGTTGGAGAACTTTCTGAAATTTTGTGAGTATTTCTGAGTATTTATAACTTTTCTATTATTTCTTCAATTTATACAGTCAGTGGAAAGGAGAAGTCGATGTGGGTCTTCCAGGTATGCAGAATCTAAGAATCCAATCATTTTAAAATTTGGTATTATCAACTACATCTGTGTTAAGTAGCTTACTGATATTCATCAGGATACTGTAAAAACAAAGATTTTCTTGTGGAAGTTAACAAATAGAGGATATGCGTGCTAAGTATATTCATTGCAAAATAAATGTATTCATTGCATACCGTAATAACTTTCAAGAAAAAAAATTAGTTCGTTGGACGTCAACTTTCCATTGGCAGCAATGGAGAAAAGATAGAAAAAGGCTTGGTACCAGAAAACCGCTCTGTATTTCTTGATAGCAATCTTTCAGGTGACTACTAGACCCCATTAGATCCTCAGAATGCTTTCTAAGCTTCCGAAAAAGGCCTCAAGAAGGTAGCAAGGCAAGAAAATGTGTTTTCCCCCATTGAACTCTTAATAAACTTGACGTCCAACATGGCGGCCAATTTACTGTGTGGGTTGGATATACGGTACTTAAAAGCTATGAATATACTTAGCACGCATATCCTCTATAAGCTAGGCTAAAATGTGCCTTTAAGAGGCTCCTATTTCCTGTGAATGAAGTTTCTGGTTTATAATGAATGATATTCATTGGGATACTGTAAATGGAAAATTTTTTCAGGCCACCATTGTGGAGGTATACTATCATTTGCTACTAACAATAGACAGACAGGCTAACAAGTGTAACAGCAAAATATAGAGCTATAGTCTGGCCACCCAGACCCAACCCATGCAGGAGAAGGGTCTGGTACAATGATTAACAAGACTGTGCAGAAGGAAGCCAAGAAATGTAGTTATTTATTAATTTTAATAATACTTAAAAGCACGTGTTAATGATAATAAAGGATGCTTTCGAGTGCTATGATCAAAGTTCTCAGGAGAATGAGCTATTTGCCACTAAAAGAAACAAAATGACTTGCTTAACATGAGTCCAAATCGTGTTCCATCATTTCAACATTTCTTGCCTTGAACCGGCCACGAGAGAATAAGTCCCCAACTAAGACTAGGCAGGACAGAAACCCTAGTTAGTATGTCTAGAGCCCTTGTTTCCACAGTCAGTGCTCTTGGTATTTCAGTACAACATGCCATTTTTATACTTACCAATAACTACAATGAATATTTATTAAAATAATGGCATCATTATGACAAATTGAATCGTGATTGGTCACATCGGATTTCTGACAGCTGCACAAAGTCTTGTTAAGCATTGTACCAGACCCTTCTCCCACAGGGGTTGGGTCTGGGTGGCCAGACTAATAGAGCTATTTCACAGAAGCAATCACAGGGGAGTATGGCTATGACTGTCTGCCATGTTGACTGGCAAGAATGTACATGGAACGAATGGAGATGTAGAAACAAACTGGGATTTTCCAACGATGAGATATCATACTTGGCTGTAAATAATTATAGAGAGTTCCTACTCAATATTTTCATCTCCTAGCTTGCATTAGCCTGTATTGTAAACTGCAGAATTTATTCAGATTTTTTCTCCATTCTCCCCATTCCACCATGTACACTCTTGCCACTCAAGATGGCGGACAATCATAGCCACCCCCCCCTGTTGATTACTTCCGTGCAACAGCTCTATTCCTATAATTGTTTTCACGACCTTGCATGCATAGCTGGGCCCTTATTAACACTTAAAGATGTTCTCTCTACCTTAAAATGCTGCTAGAGAAACCTTTAAACAGTATCTATATGTTCTCGTGCTGTTAGAATGCTCATAATTTTGTCCCATGTGTAAGCCACAATTTTGTATGCTGTGGCCACACTCACTACATAAATTAGTGTGGGAGGTCGTTGCTAAAGTTTGTTATTTCTTCAAATGTAATTGTGGACATACAAATATATAAATATAGATAGCGCTACGGTGAAAACAATTATTGGAACGACCTGGGGGCTTCATCCCAGGTCATATAAAATGCCAATTGTACTTCTCCACGCCATTCCAGTGGATCTAGACAGTTGCAGACCTGGGAAAAGAATGATAAAGGTTGCAATTATTCACTTTTGAGGCTATAACTGCTTGCTCTTCTTACAAAACGGCAGAAAGTGTATCGAGCTCCATTGAAAACAGTGCAATAATACCTCCACTGTGGCAGCCTGAAAAAATTTTCCATTTACAGTATCCCAATGAACATTATCATTAATCAGAAACATCATTCACAGGAAAGATATGAATAGAAGAGTTGGCCAAGATGCAGCGGAAGTAATTTACTGGAGGTGTGGCTCATTGTCATTTAGCTATGTTGGGTGACAAGACTGCATGTTGGTGTATGAAGGAATGGAGTGAATCGAAGGACAAGTCCTGTTCTAATGATGTTTGAAATTAACTAATGCTATCAAGAGCAAGTTAAGTAACTTTCTCAACAATTACATCACAGATCTAGGCTGAAAAGACACCATTACAGACGGCACTAGAGCACTTTGTATAAGAAACAGTCCTACTCTAAGTTAAGGAAAAGCTTCAAAAAAATTTGTGAAACTGTTGCTGACAATTATTTTATCATATACAAGTATAAAATAACAAATTGCCAACTTTAAAACACCAAATATTTAGCTTTGGCAATAAGTTAAGTGAGCCTTTTACTGATGCTATAATTTGCTACAAAAGTCTATCCATTGAGGAGTCATGCAATAAGTAAAATAGCTCCTTGGCTTGCTATTGATAGTACTTGTTCATCTCTAACGTCATTAGAACAAGACTTTTTCTTTGATCTACTCCATTCCTGCATACTCCAACATGCAATCTTGCCACCCAAAATATGGCTGACAATGAGCCACACCTCCCATTAATTACTTCCATTGCAACTCCTCTATAATTGTTGCAGTGGGTACATACAGAAATGGAGATTTAGGTCAGATGATCTTTTCTCTCTGGATGTACAAAATGTAGCTCATCCACTCTGCTAAAAAATAGTAAAAGTACATACAACTTTTCCTGTACTTAATCATGGCGGCAAAAATATAAAATTCAATAAATATCATGCATCTCATTCACAAGAATTTGATGAATTGGTTGATCATGTGTTGAATATTTGTCATTTCTAAATTCCATTACATGTCCATTTATACATGTAATCAATGCACCAATGATTTGCATGATCAAAATTATTATTATGGCTTTGTTATGTTTTTAGACTATTTTATAGTAAGCCACCACTCAGTGTTCAGAATATCAGCCACATTTACCTATAACTAGCACATGCAAATTGGGAACTTTTACATAGTATAGGTTGTTCAAAATATTTTTTTCTGTAAAAATATCTTTTTTGGCCATGAACTTATAAAGATAGGAATAGTTATAACTTCCCTTATTCTCCATTTTAATTTTGAGCTTATCTTTCCTCTACCCAAGCAGAAAATTTTCAAGAGCCCTGCAACTTCAACCTTCACATTCAGTCACACAAATTACCAAAGTAGCACCATTGCTGGATCAATGATCAACCACAATTTATTAATTTTACCATTAGTAAATGATAAATTTTTATTTTTGTAGAACTACGACTACATTTCAGATTAATTTTTGGCTACTCTACTACAATGCTAATTTAATTCATAGTTTAGGCATCTTAAAAATTATTTACTAAAGTAACTGGATCTCGATAGCTCATATTGCAATTATACTCTTAATACTAATTGCATCAATATTCAATGCCTAAAGCTGTATCTATTTTCCTTGCTATAATTTTTTACTTGCAACTGCTATTGATTTTATATTTCTCTAGGATGGTCTCATAAAGATCGAGCCCATGTTGGTGAAGAACTAAGTGATATCCTCATATATTTAATTGAACTGGCTGAAAAGTGTCATATTGACTTACCATCTGCAGTTTTACGGAAATTTGAGCTGAACTTTAAAAAGTACCCTCCTGAAAAGGTGTATGGCTCAAGCAAAAAATATACTGAATACATATCTGATGATAACTGATATTCATCATACTGCGGTCATTGTCATTACCATTTATTTTGAAAGACCATTTGCATAGTGACAAAAAAATATTGTGAATGATCTACATGTAGAAATTTTTATTGTTCTACGGTGTAAGACACTCCTACTTTAGTATCTTGTTGGATTTTACAATCAACAATAAAGCACTCTGAGTACATCAATTATTGTTTTTTTACCTATGATGAATGATCTATTGAAGTTAGAAATATAAAAGTCAAGGCAAAATGTGATACAGTTGTGAAATAGTTTCAATACACAGTAAAATTTAGTTATATCTAGTCTTAGGGAGTGAATCTCTAATTTTATTACCTAGCCTTGGGCCCTTGCCCCTTATGATTCAATTGGTAGATGATGAATGCTTCCCCTCCCTCTAAGATTTAGTCAATCTATGCTCAATCGTACTCCCTCCCATTGACATATCTCTTATTCCTCACTCTCAAATCATTTATATTTGATTTCATGTAGAACATTTTTTGAATAATTTTACTGCAACCTGCTGGTGCACTTATCATCTAAAATGTCCATGCCATAATTTCTATTCACAATTAAATTAATTAATTCATTTTTAATTAAATTTTTTAATTATAATTCCTAGCATTTTTTCAGATCTTCCATATACCATGATACATATACTATACCTTAAGTTACCTTACGTACCTTTTTTGTTTTCAAACTCTAGATATATATCTCTGTATTGTTGTAAAGAATAATAATGATAATAGTTATTATGCCTCAACAATAATATTTCCCAAAAAATTAATTAATGAATCAAGTCTCAGTTTCTCTGGCCTGAACCAGTGTCATTTTTATGATCAACAGATTTCATTATTGATGCTAGTCTAAATCAGTCCTGAAATCAGTTCTGAATGTTGCAACCTGACATCAGTTCTGAATCTTGCAATACAAGATTCAGAACTGATTTTAGGCCTGATTCAGACTCGCATCAATCCCGAGATCATTCCTAATTCAGTTAAGAAATAAGAATTTCAGATTCAACTATTGGATGTCGCTAAAATGTGTGACAGTGACAAGGGTAAGTCTTTGCTGAAAGCTTATGAATTGAAAGACAAAGGCAATGTGAAGTTTAAAGCTAAACAATATCTTGAATCTATGCGTTGGTACACCAAAGTATGTCTATCTTTATAACATTTGCCATTTATATAGGGTCTATTACTTCTTGTTAGGCTCTGTTTAATGCTCCTTGTCCATCTTCATCTTTTGAAGGAACGCTTGAAATGTTTCGTGAATCTTGTGATGAAATTCTACAAGTATATTTATCCCAAAATAAATTGGAATTTGGCAGTGGTGTAGATGACCTGATATTAGCTCATTGTTATAGCAATAGATCTGCTGCTTTTCTTGAACTTAAAAATTATGAGGTAGATATATGTATAATTAGAGTTCAACATAATTTTCCCAGCTAGGTTAAAATTATGAAAATGTGCATGCGCTATGTTTTTAAAAATAGTCTTCCCTTTCTCAATCTCTCCTAAAATTCTCTAAAAAAAATTATCTGTATAATTATAACCATTTGTGGCATTACTTTTTAATCTAAATGTAATTTGTGGTTGCTGTACACTGGCGTATCTAGAAATTTGGAAAGGGGGTGCTGAGGGCACTCAAAGTGTGCTGCGATAATGACCACACCTTTTTTAAGGTGAAAACAGCGTTTTTAGTCAATTTTGGGTGGGGTCAATATAATTTTAAGCATACTGGTACTTCTGACGACTTCTGATCAGTCCTTAAAGCACTGGAAACTGCTGTAATCATGATCAGGGAGAGATGCTGAAGCCCCCTCAGCCCCCCTTGGATACGCCACTGGTACAAGTTGCAGCCTGCCTTTAACTGTCCTTTTTGACATTGTTCTTTAGTTCCTGTACTATGTTTTTACAGTTAAAAAATCATTTATTATTATTATTATTATCATTATTGTTTTGCAGATAGTAATGTGAAACCATTTTGACCACAGAAATTTGAATAGTCTCAATTTATAGACCTCATTAGTTTCATGTTTTGCTATAAATTTTCTAGGATGCATTAAATGATATTGCCATTGCTTGGTATCATGGATATCCTATTGAAACATTCAAATTATACCGAAGAAAAGCATTGTGCTTGGCACACTTAGGGAAAAAAGTTGAAGCTTTAGGAGGTAATTATTTCATAATGTATTCATGATGTATTTTTGTTATTGACCTAGTCATTAAAGGGTACAAAGATAAGATACCACTAAATCCCAAAGGTAGATTCATGTAGATATGCAGACCTGGTACATGTATATTGCTGTTACTGATACATTGTATAGTTCAAAAAGAAATCGATGAATTAATTAGCAAAATATCAAGATTACAAAAAGATTTACCAAAGTAAATCATTGCATTTAAAAGAATTTTGTTCCAACAATTGCGTAATTATAAGAGATAATAATTTGGATTCTGACAATGACTTTGTTTTGTCTTCACTTTACATTGATGATGATGATGATAAAGGTAGATGTGTAAAGGTATGTACGTGTACATGGCATAAGATTATCATTAATGCTGTTCTAATTAATAGACCAAATCAGATATTTCATTTGGAGAATGTGTTCTTCAGGAGGCACCTTATGTGTCATATTGTTATCTTTCTTTGTCTGGAACTTATTGTAGCTATTGTTTTAAGAAAACTACTGCCATAATACCGTAAGAAGATGCCAAATCAGTTAATGGTTGCTAATACTTATTTTAATAGTTGCTACTATTGTGCTTATGCTGCATATTGCTCATTGGAATGCATGAAAATAGCTTGGAAGTCATATCATTGGCTTGAATGTTCAAGTACTAATGGACCAACAGTAAGCAAAATGTTTTGCTGTCAATTATCTGTTACAGGTGTTACTTCAGAATCCACTAATAATAATGACTATTAGATTGCTATTGAA